TCAAACTAAGCTGAAATGCATATGCAGGGCCCGATCCTGCTCCATTGGAGTCAGTGGTAGTTTAGCTATTGGGTTTGGTGGGAGCAGAATCGGGCCCTTAAAAGGAGGTTTCTTGTAAAAGAATGTGGTTGGCTGCACCTTGGAGGCAAAAGGGAGTGCACAGGGAACGGGTAGCTACAGGGCACCTTTTTATGGCCCCCTGGATGCTTAAAGTGGCTGGGAGCTGTCCTCATCCCTCTCCCCAATGTAAACGGCAGCACCTCCAAAGCAAGCTCTATCTGTCAACGATTGCCCCCAGCACAGCCCAGAGCAGCTGCAGAGCAGTGTGCTCCCAGCCTCCCCTGAAGCGCTCCCACTGCAGGGGTTCAAGGGGGGGGTGCACTGACATGGCTTTGTGGGGGTCCAGGACTGAAGTAATGGGGTGCTGCAGGTCTGTGCATTGACAGAGTGAGGGGATGTGTTTGTGGGGAGTGTGTGTGTGGGGGGTGTTTCTGGACTACAATAGCAGGGCTGTTGGGGAGCAGAGTACACTGGCACATGCTCTGCCTTTGCCTCTGGATCTTCAGCCTATCTCCTCCATCCCACGCTTCCACAGCAAGACTAAAACCAACCAAAACAAACTGCAAAGCCCCTGGAAAGTGGGGGTCTTCTGAGCACCTCATGCCTCCCAGAGAGGTTCTCCCCTTCCCATGGGCATTGCCGACTTCCCAGGAGGAGAGCTGACGTCTCAGCAAGGACAATACAGTAGAACCTTAGAGTTACGAACAGCTCGGGAATGGAGGTTGGTTGTAGCTCTGAAATGTTCCTAACTCTGAACAAAAGGTTATGGTTCTTTCAACTGTTTGCAACAGAACATTGACTTAATACAGCGTTTACTCCTGGGGGCATTCTGTGCCAAAAAATAAAAATTCTGTGCACGATATTTTAAAATTTTGCAAAATTCTGCAAATTTTATTTGTCAAAATAACACTACATAATCACTCCAGTTTCAATTATTTTGGTAATTTATTTCCAAATACTTGTCAGCAACTATGTCTGTAACTATACAGATGCACACACAAATTCCAGGAGTAGGGAATTAAAGAAACCCCTATTACTACCCAGTTCCTGTTTCTCTGCCCCCTTCACATCTCCTGCCCAGCCCAGCCATCGTGCCCCCCAGCCAATACACCCAAACCCCCTTCCCCCCCCCAGAGCCCAGCCGCAGGGCCCCACTTGCCCAGACTCCCACCCCCCTTCTCCCCAGAGCCCAGGGATCCAGAGGGAGACATAGCCTGATGCTCGATCCCAGGCTTGTATGGAGTTTCCTGTGCGCCGCCTTGTCCTTCCCTCAGAGTATGCTGGGAATTGCAGCAGCCAGGAACCCTCTTGTTCCCTTCACCTCCCCCCAGCAGTGTCTTCTATGTGTAAGCTGGGATATGCCAGGTCCAGCGTCCCCTAGTGGCCACCAGCAGCACTGCAGCCCGTTTCTGTGGGGGGAAAGGAAATTCTGTGTGCATGACGTTAATTTCTGCAAAATTCTGCATTGCGCAGTGGTGCAGAATTCCCCCAGGAGTAAGCTTTGAAACTTTACTATGCAGAAGAAAAATGCTGCTTTTAACCAGCTTAATTTAAATGAAACAAGCACAGAAACGGGTTCCTTACCTTGTTAAACATTTTTTTAAAACTTTCCCTTTATTTTTTTCATAGTTTCTATTTAACACAGTACTGTGCTGTATTTGCTTTTTTGTGTGTGTCTCTGCTGCTGCCTGATTGCTTACTTCTGGTTCCAAATGAGGGGTGTGGCTGACGAGTGAGTTTGTAACTCTGGTGTTTGTAACTCTGAGGTTCAACTGCTATGATCCCCAGACTGTGAGGTGTGCTCCCCTCCGGGGGTGCAGAGGAACATTTGTGACGGTAGGGCACAATGGGGTCTGGGCCAGCCCCCATGGGGGCCAGGGAGGAGTGCCTCTCAGCCCCGCTCTGTCCCCATCTCTGCTCTGGCCCAGTCACAGCGACAACTCTGGCCCTGGCTTTGGCCCCTGGCTTCTGGCCCCTCTCTCAGCCATGGTGCCAGCTCCAGGTTTGGCCCCAGCCCTGGCTTGCGGCTCCTGGCCCTGGCCCTGGTCCCAGCTCCAGACCTAGGCTCCTGGGTGGGCAAGACCAGGTAAGGGGAGATGCGACCAAAAAAGTTTGGAGACCACTATTCTACTTTAATTTCCCCAAATTACCCAGCATACTTTGATTTATGTTACATGTAATTTATTCCCCTTGGCCCCCACCTGGCACTAAAATCCCTGTTGATCTAATTAAAGCAAACCAAGGCATCCAGCAGGGAGGCAGTGAAGGATGACTGGAGGAGAGACCGTCGGGCTTAGGCAATGGGGCTGCTTGTTTTGCTAAAAGTGTGGGGGCATTGTCTAACCCAGGAAATGAGGGCCAGAGGTGCAGGGTGGTGGGGAAATGAAGGGCTCAGGTCTTCCCGGGCCGAGTGAGTTTAGGGCTCAAGTCAGGCGGGATGAAGGATTTTTGGGAGGGCTAGTGACATGATTATTTCTGGGCTGGCCTGTCAAACCATCCCAGGATCATTTAGCTCTTCCCTGGTGATCTAGTGGTTAGGATTTGGCACTCTCACCGCCATGGCCCAGGTTCGATTCCCGGTCAGGGACCAATATTCTGGGGGGAGGGATAGCTCAGTGGTTTGAGCATTGGCCTGCTAACCCCAGGGTTGTGAGTTCAATCCTTGAGGGGGCCATTTAGGGATCTGGGGCAAAAATTTTGGATTGGTCCTGCTTTGAGCGGGGGGTTGGACTAGATGATCTCCTGAGGTCCCTTCCAACCCTGATATTCTATGATTCTATGAACTGAGGGTGTGTGGGAGGCTCTGGGTGGCAACCAGTGCCCTCTGCAGGAGAAGTGGATCCTGGCAGCTCTGCTGCAGCCTGTACCCTTTGCCATCTTGGAGTGTAAGCCAGTCATGGTAGCCACCAGCCAGTTTATGTGTGCTGTACAGCACCTAGTGCAGTGAGACCTTAATCCCTAGCTCTAGGATGCTATCACAGTGTACGTTATTTCAGTGGGCTATTCAATTTCAGGGCTGGGGACTGCTGGGCCCCACTGGCTGCAGGGCTGTGTGCGATCTGGGGCTTGCCATGTTCGCTTTCAGCTGTAGAGTCCAGAGTTGCCAGCAATGTCAGTGGGACAAAGGGAGGTCTGGGGGTCCCCACACTCATTTCAGGGCTATTTGGTCTCTTCTTCTGCCCTTCATGCCCTCCCTACTGGTTCGTGCTCTGCTGCCCGTCCTGCATGACCACTGCAGAAGAGTGCTGGAGAACTGGGTATGCCCAGGTAGGGGGTTGGCATGGGGGTGGGGGGAAATCCTGCCTTTTAATGCAAACTCTGCCAGTGACTTTGTGGGCTCCCCTGGCAGCACTTAAAGGGCTGGGTCCTGTGGCGGGGAGAGGGAGGCTGAGCTTCCTCCCCTGCCCTTGGCTTCAGCACTCCCCAGGGTCTGGCCCAAAGAGAAGGGGAAAGCGTTGTGGGTCTACCAAAGCCTTTAAAGGGCAACGATCCTTTTTGCTCCCCTCCTGGTCTCTCCCCACCTCTATCGCTCCCCCCCTGCCCCCGCTGTTCTGCCTCCCATCCCTATGCTATCTCAGCCCCTGCACCCTAGAGCCGAGCAGGGCTGCCAGGCCTTGCTCTGAGCTTGCTTAGCCCTTCTCAGCCTTGCCAGCCCCATGTATTCACAAATCTTGAGTTGGGCCCCCTAAAAATAATGGGAGTGGCTTAAAAACCCTAATTTTGACCAAGAACAGCCTATTTCTGGCTCCCTGAGCCTTCGGGGGGGTGTCTCGCTTTCCGGCTTGTCTCTGCCAGAAATGGACATTTTTTTTTTTTTTAAAGGAAAGCTGAGATTTTGCTGTATTCATTTGACTCCAGGAGATGAGGCTAGCCACCAACAGCATGAGGCTCATGAGACTTGGCTGCCTTGCCTCCTGGAGGAGAGACCTCTGACTCCACCTGTGGGTCTTGGCTCTGTAGTGGTAGGCTGTGAAAAGTGGCGCCCAGAGACTGAAAAAGAGGAGAAGGAATGTGGGGAGGAGAGCAATACGTAATGATAAAATCCCCACGCGGCGTATAACGCATATGGAGGGTCCCTGTGTGCCAGCCGAGGTCTTGTGACTCTTCTGGCCCTTGGGCTGCTCCGAAGCTGGTTGGAGTCTGTCCTGTTGCACGTATTCCAATGGGAACAAAGCTGGACAAGCCTGACCTCTTTGAAGCATGTGGGTGAGAGAGGCTGGTAATAGTGGCCGTTGCTTGGGGCAGGATTATTTGCATCCTGGTAGTGTGTAGCGGCCCTGTTGAGATTGGGGCCTTCTCAGGAGAGATTGCCCCTGCCCCAGATAAGACAAGGGCTGTTTATTCCCAAGGCACAGAGACCAACTGACCCTCCCAGGGCTGTGCCGGGAGTTGGTGGCAGCAGGGAGTAGAATGTAGCTCTCTGGAATCCCAGGCCAGTGCCTGACCCACTCAGCCATCTCGGGCGGTTGGACTGAGCATGGCAGGAGGTGGGATCCTGAGCTGGATGCACCCACACTCTGAGCTGGTGCAGCCGCGGGGGGAAATACCGAATTGGAGAACCAATGGCCAGACAGTGGGCCACTGGGCTGTATGGGCCGATGGCCTGTCTGAGCCAATGCAAGAGGCAAGCCGAGTTTGACCCTTCCAAGAAAGAAGAGTGCCAGAAAATCCATGATGTGCACCAGGGACCTTGCTATTGCTGTTGTACATGGAAGGTGCTCAGATGCCATGGTGATGGGCAGCAGTGTAAAGCCCTCAGGGAGATAGGTAGCGGCAGGACACAGACCGAGGTGGGTCCCTGGCTGAGCCGATGTGCTGACTCTTCTGTGCTGGTGGGGCTGAGCTCAGCTGTGCCTTCAGCTCTGTTCCTGGTGGGCCCAGCCCGGAGCCCCTGCTGTCCACGGCAATTCATGCTGATTGTTGTGTCTCTTTCTTTTCAGCTCAGGGCAGCTCCTGCCGAGAGGGAAGATTCCCTTTTCCAAGGACACACAGAGCCTTGCTCTCCCCTCCCCACTACCCCCCACTGACGCTCTGGGATCTCGCCCTGCATCACAGATGCCCTGCCCATTGCTCATCCTGGTCCTGCTGGTGCTCGCTCCAGCAGGTGAGTGGGGCTGGGCGGTGTGGGGCACTTCAGGATGGGAGGTGGGGCACTAGGATGGTGCAATGCCCCGAGTGAGACCTTTGGCCTGAGTTACAATCCCCACAGGCTGCCGTAGGCCCAGGTCCCATTCCCATTGGGGTCAGTGGGGGCTGTGACTTGGGGAGGAACAGGATCGGGACCTTTCTCCATGGCGCTGACTCCTGGGATGTGTGGTGTGAGCGTCAGGATTTCAGAGGGGGCTGGAGCTCATCTGGCGATGACGTGAGACCCTCTCGCCCGGCTGTCTCTCCCCTCTGCTCCTCAGCCCTTGCAGGGCGGGAAGAAGGAGCAAAGAGCCCAGCAGCTCGGTGCGGCTTTGCTCCCTCCTCTCCTGTGAGCACCAGGGCAAAAAGGTTCTTCTCCCCCCCGGCCCTGCTCCTTCCCTCCAGCACCCAGTCTGGGAAGGAGCAGAGGGAAGATGAAGAACCTCTGGAGCTTCCCCCCTCCTCCCCAGCCTGGAAGGGGGAGAGAGGACCATTCTGCAGCCCTCCCAGGGCTGGGAGAGGGATGGAGACCCCAGGAGGAGCAGAGGTGAGGCTGGAGGGGGCAGAATGGATGGTGGGGATAGGATTAATTGTTGGGCAGGGGACGGACAGATGTGGGGCGAAAACTCCAGCAGAAGGGGCCAGATCATCTCCCGCAATACAGTACCTGTCACCTATGTGCTGGGTGTGGGCAGGGGAGCAGGCCATCAATAGATGGACTGATGAACCACAATAGAGTCTTTGGCCCTGCAATTGATCCCATGGGAGTCTCTGGGAACAGATGTTCTCAGACACGTCTCAGATCTGGAGGTTTCAGCTGGGCTGTCAGGAGAATGGTCTGTCTGGCTGCATTTCAGTTGCTCCCACTCCTGACTGAAACCTCAACACAGACATAGTGTTTGTTTCCCACTTTGGGTGTAAACTTAGATAGGTTTTGACTTCCCTAGAGTCACAGCACCTGGCTGTGGTCCTTGGGAGGGGCATGCTGGTGGGTGGGAGATGTTCTGGCAGCAAAGGGCAGAGGCAGGCATGGTGCCGGTGGGAGAAACATGCTCACCAGCAGCCCTTGCTACACTGTTGGGAGAGAGGTCGCTTGGTTTCCCCCTGCACCCACTGCAAGGGGAGACTGGCAGGGCGGGACCAGAGCCGTGGCCCAGTATTGCTGGTAGCACTAGTGGCCTCCGTGCTTGTGTTCACAGGAGCTTCTGCAGCCATCTCATGGCTGGCTCCTCTGGAGCAACATTGGCAAAGGCGAATTCTCCAGCTGTGCCCCCACACTGGGGCAGCCCTATCAAATCCAGAGGTGGAGCAGCCCCATTAGATCATGTAGTCCTGCTTGCTGCCAATGCCATAGAGGATTGAAAGACGGATCTTGTGTGGCAGGGAGACCAGCTGAATTCAGATGTCTTTGTTTGTCCCACCTCCAAGTCCTGGAGGAGCTGTTTAATTGGCGATGCGCCATGGAAGTGTGGGGCTGGAGGAAGAGGCTCCAGCGGTGTGACTCTTGTCCAGCTCAGGGGCTTGGAGCCAGGCTGGTTTGTGCCTCTGCAATGGGTGTCCCCAGTAGGCTTGGCAGGGCAGGGCTGAGTGTGGGAAGTTGCAGCCCTGGTCAGATAGTGCAAATGGAAAGGTGGGGGAGCAGGGGTAACGGCTGGGCTGGGAACAGGTTGCAATGGCAGATCAGAGGGAGGGGGAGGAGGGGAGGACCAGAACATCAGGGGGCACTGGACAGTACTGAACCATCTAGCAAAGGGAGGACAAACTACAGCCCGCGGGCCAGATCTGGCCTGTCAGGACTTTCAATCCTGCCCTTGGGATTGCCAGCCCCGTGGTGCAGCACGGGTTAAGGCAGGCTCCCTGCCTGTCCTGGCCCCATGCCACTCCCGGAAGCGTCCGGCACCATGTCCCTGGGGCCGGAGGAGGGGGGCAGAGGGCTCCGTGCGCTGCCCTCGCCTTCAGGCACTGCCCCCCCACATCTCCCATTGCTGAGAACAGGGAACTGTGGCCAATGGGAGCTTTGGGGGTGGGACCCACAAGCAAGGGAAGGGCGCGCCCAGCTGCCTGCCCCACCCCCAGGAGCCACTGCTGGATATGCTGGCCACTTCTGGGAGCGGCGCAGGGCCGGGATAGGCAGGGAGCCTGCCTTAGCCCTGCTGCACACTGCTGCCATCCCGGAGCAGCTCGAGGTATGCGGTGCTGGGCCAGAGCCCTCACCCCAACCCCCTGTCCTGAGCCCCCTCCTACACTCCGCACCCCCTCCTGCACCCCAACCCCTTGCCCTGAGCCCCTTCCTGCACACCGGACCCACTCCCACACGCCGCACTCCCTCCTGCACCCCAACCGCCTACCCCAGCCCTACATTCATGGCCCTGCATACAATTTTCCCACCCAGATGTGGCCCTCAGGCCAAAAAGTTTGCCCACCCCTGATCTAGCAGGTCTCGTTTTCACAAACTTGGTTTAAAGGCCAGCACAGATAGCTCCCAGAGAGGGAGAGACAGGCAGGTGAGGTAGGGTCACTCCCTGACTTGGCTGGAGGTTTGATAAAGTCAAACCTCTGGCTCCATCTAGTGTCTGAGAAGGAGTCACACACATCTTCCACTGGGCTTTATTCCAGCTTGCAAGGACTGATGTGGCTGCTGCGCAGTACCTGTTAATTGCCTAACACCTGTGGCAGCTGCAGGATGGTAGGAGTCCAGAGTGGTGTCACCACCCCCGCTTCCAGAGCTGGGATAATTTTCAGATTTTGTTTTTTCTTGAAACATCTAAGCCACACTGAGCGCCTAGTGTGAGAAGTGCTGGATCTAAAGCGAACTTCCTACAGCATAAAATCCGTGGCGTACTGCCTTTCCCGAGCCGATTCCTTCTTTCCTTTTTCTCTAGTCTCCACTTTTCCCTAGGCCGTGATGTCTTTCCTCACTCTCTTCCTTTGCCTGTGTTCCCCTTGTATGAGTTAGTCCATTATTTTTCCTCCTTTTAAAATATTTCACTCCCTCTCTTTTTTCCTCTAAAAAAATCTCTTTCTCAGGGCATGTTCACACTAATAATTTAAGTCTACCTAAGTTACATCGATATACAGTAGTTCAATTGCTTTTGCCTGTCCACACCACATTTCTTGTTTCGGTGGTGTGCGTCCTCATTAGCCGTGCTTGCATCAATGTGGATAGCAGTGCAACATGGGTAGCTATCCCTATAGGCGGCGTGTGACCTGCTGGCTGGGGTAGGCTAATACCAGCCCCGCCCCTTCTGCCAGAGGCCCCGCCCCTTCTGCCCCAAGCCCAGAGGCCCCCCACCATGGCCTTCAGCCCCTGCCCCAGGCTTGTGCCCCCAACCCTGGAGCACCGGGAGGGTGGATGGCGCGGGCCCAGCCCCGGAGCACCAGAGTGCTAAGCAGGAGGGAGCCTGGGGACGGAGTGTGGGTGGGGCCATGCCTGGCTGTTTGGGTAGGCACAGCCTCCCGCAGCCTATGATATCCGCTGCCCATGGCTATCCCACTGTGCAACTCACTACCATCTGGCGCAAAGTGTTTTGAGAAGGGTTTGCAAAGCCTTATGGGGGCAATGAGTCACGCAGGGGTGACTGGGAACATGGGGTCAATGTCCCATGATGCAGTTTTCTCCATCCCATAATATTATCTGCATCCTATAATGTTTCATGCCTCTTTTCAAAATCCCCACAAACCTGTGCATCTGCCGTCTTTGTGAGAAGCATGGATCCTGCACAGCTTTTCAGTATTGTGCTGACCGACACCGACATAATGTGCCTGGTACTTCAGTATTTCCAGAGCTGCTGGAGGAGCTGCGAAGGATCTGACAGTGCCTTGCAGGATGCCTTGCTGACCTGATACTGAAAGAAACAATTCAAGATTGCTGTTGGCATTCACTGAGCAGCTGCACGTGGTGGAGTGCCGGTTCTGGGCCCAGGAAACAAGCACTGAGTGGTGGGATCACATCGTTATGTAGGTATGGGATGACAAGCAGTGACTGCAGAGCTTTCGGATGCTCAAAGCCACATTTCTGGATCAGCTTGCGGAACCAGCCCTTCAGCGCAGCAACTCCAAAATTAGAGCTCCACTGACGGTGGATAAGTCAGTGGCAATTGCCGTGTGGAAGCTTGCAACACCAGATTGCCACTGATCAGTTGAGAATCAGTTTGGAATTCGAAAATCCACTGTGGGGGTTGCTGTGAAGCAACTGTCCAGGGCAATTAATTATGTCCTGATACAAAGGACAGTGACTCTGGGCAATGTGCAAAACATAGTGGATGGTTTTGCATCAGTGGGGTTCCCGAACTGTGGTGGGGCAACAGATGTCATGCATGTCACTATCTTGGCACCAGACCATCTTGCCATGGAGTACGTCAACAGAAGGAGCTACTTGTCTACGGTATTGCAAGTGCTGGTGGATCACTGGATGTTTTACCGACATCAGTGCGGGCTGGTCAGGGAAGGTGCATAGCATCATCTTTAAAAACACAAGCCTATTCAGGAAGATGCAAGCAGGGATTTTCTTTCCAGACTGGTGGATTACCACTGGGGATGTGGAAATGCCAGTCGTGATCCTGGGCAACACAGTCTGTCCCTTGCTCCGATGGCTCATGAAGCTGTACACCGGCCACCTTGACAGCAGCAAGAAAAGCTTCAACTACAGGCTCAGCAGGGGCAGCATAACTGTTGAATGTGTCTTTGGCCATTTGAAAGGCTGCTGGTGCTCTCTACTCATGGATTGGTTATAGCTGCCTGCTGTGCACTTCATAATATCTGTGAAGCAAAGGGGAGAAAAGTTCCGCCAGGGTGGAGTGCGGAGGTGGAATAGCTGGCTGCTGATTTGGTAGGGGTAGTGCAGCAGCCCAGGAAAATATGTGGAATGTGATGGGGGGTGGGGCATGTAGGGAGGTTCTGGAATGCAGTTATCGATAGACTGCAGTGGGAGGTAAGCACGGATGGCTTAGATTCATAGATACTAAGGTCAGAAGGGAC